ATACTTCACCAAAAGAGATATATGAGGAGTCTTCAAAAAGTTCCTGGGGAAAAATGTGTATTATAAAAAAAAAAATGCATGGATTTCCTTTTTTTTTGGCACCAAAATTAATTCACACTTTAATTCTACTTTTGAAATCTTGTCAAACAGATGGCAAAATACATGGAAAGATATTCTGGACTGAATGTTTGTGCCCCCCAGTCATATGTCTGAACCCTAACTTCCAACACAATGGTACTGGGGCATGGCGCCTTAATGGGAGGTAGACGGGGCTTAGATCAGGTCACGACAGTGGAGCCCCCATCATGGTCGCTTCCTTGTAAGGGACAGCAGAGTGCTCTCTCTCTTTCCCCTCTTCCTCTCTCTCTCTGTGTCTCCTTCTCTCCCTCTCTCCCCTCTTCCCCCCTCACCAGGCATCGACTCTCCTGGTGCCTAATCTTGAACTTACCAGCCCCCAAACCATGAGAAACAGTTACTGTTTAAGTCCCGTGTGGAATTTTGTTACCGCGGCTCCTCTGACCGACACAGGCGCTCGACACCAGTGGTCACCGGGAGAGAAAGCCGAGACCACAGTGAGATCCCGCAGCACACCCCCTAGAATGGCGGAACCAAGATCAGTAACACCTGGGCGAGCGTGCGGCACAGGGGACTCTTACATTGCTGGCGGGGATGCGAAATGACACGCTGGCCTTGGCATACCGTTGACAGTTTCTTATAAAGTAAAACCGAGCCGGTCCCTTCAGTCCTGGGCATTTAGCCAAGAACAAGGAAAACACGTCCACAGAAGACTTGTGCGTGATCAGACATGCTGTTCTCAGAAACCAAAGGCCAAAAAGGACCCGAAGGCTGGCAAACGCACACAACAGCGTGCGTCCGCGGTGGTGTGGCCTCCGCAGTAAGGGAACAGGTGAGTGACATGAGAAGCGGGCGAGCGGTGGCCACAGCTCGGGCCGACCAGGAGAAAGCGGATATGGTGGGTATCCGCACGCTGGGGCGGTCCGTAAGACATCCCAGGAAGGGCAAAGTGATGGCGGTGGCAACAGCAAGCAGGTCAGGGGTTTGCAGGACGGGGGTGGAGAACGGGGTCACTGCAGAGGGCTCGCGGGGACCCGGGGAGATGGGGACCTTCTGGGTGCTGGCCACTGTGGTGGTGCTTACATGACCAGACTTATTTGGCAAAACTCACTAAATTGTACACATAAAATTGGGAAATTTTACCAGTTATAAATTATTCCTCAACAAAATACAACTTTAAAAATCCGTGGGGCCAGCAGTGACAGGTGGTTAAGGCATTGGATTTCCATTCGGCTGACTGTGATTCAGGCCCTGGACCTGGTGGCTTGAAACTCAAACCAGGCATATGTGCATGCCTGCCCAAAATCCCAAGAGGAGAATGTCGGAAAAGGGACTGTGGCATGGCCACCCCCTTGGGGGCGATTTCTCACTTTCCTTCTCCCTGTCGCTCTGTCTCTCTCTGGCCTGGCGAGAGCTTGTGCGCTGTGGCAGAAACCTTAAAAAACGCTGTCAGATGGGTGGAGGGTGCAGCCTCAGAGCAGCGGGGCAGGGCCGGGCTGCCGTGGGGAGGCCTGCCTGATGGGGGAAGCTGACATCAGGAAGGGGAGGTGGGCTTCAGGCTCCCACGAGGCAGGCTGGCGTGGAGACAGGGAGCGGCCTGGGCTTGTGTGACTCGGAGAAGGCCCCTGACCAGGTGGAAGGAGCCGGGCTCCGGGGGAAGGGCACACCTGGTGGGGGGGGGGGTTGCCCAGAGGCAGGTGAAGGGGGTGTGGACGCAGGTGAAGGGGGTGTGTCTGGCACAGCCCAGGGCTCCCATGGCACTTGCCAAAGGTGAATCAGGAGGTGAGGGGACAGTGGCAGAGGCCCGGTGGAGGGAAGGTCCCTCAGTGCTCCCCACTCTCAGACACCGATGCTAAGGCTGACCTATGGCTCCATCCCTGGGCTCCCCATGTCACTCCCCACGGGACAGCCTCCTAGTTCCTCATCCTCCCAGGTTGCCTGGCCTGGCCCACCAGCCCCACTCCAAAGCCCTTCCCCAGTGCTAACCCTCCGTCAGTGTGACAACCCAAACCTGGCAGGCTCACGCCTCCTCAGGGGAATTGGCACTGGGGAGCAAGGAAGGCCTGGGGGCAGCAGCCTGGGTGCCTGCCACCCCCACCCCCTCTACCACCTGCCTCATCCAGCTGGTCCCATCAGACGTCAGGTCCCGGGCAGGTGGGTGGGCGGGCTCTGCCCTAACCCAAAGCCCGTCCAGAAACAACTGTGCCCAGTTCTACAAGCGTTTTGTCTTCCTTTGGGAAACCTTTGTGGGAGATGCCAAGTCTCCTGGAGAGCATGGGGGACCTTCCTGGGAACAGTCTGGAGACGACCCACACCCACTCAACCACCAAAGATTTTCTCTGCATGGCTTATGGGCAAAACTCGCACCACTGCCTTGAGGCCGGCCCGGGCCACAGTCCCTGGGAGCAGCTGTGTTGGCTTCTCCGAGTGCCGGGCTGCGGGGGCTTCTGCCTCCAGATGAGGATTCTGGGGCCATCACCGTCACCTCACTGAGGGGCAGTGGGCAGCAGCAACTGAGTGTGGAGAGGCCAGGCCTCTGCTGTCAGCCCAGGGTCGCCAGCCCCAAACGAGGTCGGCATCACTGGGCCCTCGCTCCCCTGGGCCCCCATGGGAGACTCAGGCAGGAAAGGCCAATGGGACCATAAGTAGCCCCGGGAGGGACCCATAGACGTGGTGCACTTGGCTAATATGGATGCAGGTGTGAGCAAGGAAGGCCTGGGGGCAGCAGCCTGGGTGCCTGCCACCCCCACCCCCTCTACCACCTGCCTCATCCAGCTGGTCCCATCAGACGTCAGGTCCCGGGCAGGTGGGTGGGCGGGCTCTGCCCTAACCCAAAGCCCGTCCAGAAACAACTGTGCCCAGTTCTACAAGCGTTTTGTCTTCCTTTGGGAAACCTTTGTGGGAGATGCCAAGTCTCCTGGAGAGCATGGGGGACCTTCCTGGGAACAGTCTGGAGACGACCCACACCCACTCAACCACCAAAGATTTTCTCTGCATGGCTTATGGGCAAAACTCGCACCACTGCCTTGAGGCCGGCCCGGGCCACAGTCCCTGGGAGCAGCTGTGTTGGCTTCTCCGAGTGCCGGGCTGCGGGGGCTTCTGCCTCCAGATGAGGATTCTGGGGCCATCACCGTCACCTCACTGAGGGGCAGTGGGCAGCAGCAACTGAGTGTGGAGAGGCCAGGCCTCTGCTGTCAGCCCAGGGTCGCCAGCCCCAAACGAGGTCGGCATCACTGGGCCCTCGCTCCCCTGGGCCCCCATGGGAGACTCAGGCAGGAAAGGCCAATGGGACCATAAGTAGCCCCGGGAGGGACCCATAGACGTGGTGCACTTGGCTAATACGGATGCAGGTGTGGGAGGGACCCATAGACGTGGTGCACTTGGCTAATACGGATGCAGGTGTGAGGGCCCTGCCCAGGACACCTGTAGGCCCCCAGACTCCCTCCCCAAAATGCCTCTGCTAAAATAAACCAAGCAAGGCCAGGCATTGGTAGACTCACAGGTATTTACGGGTGGAAACAGGGGCTAGGGTGGGAGGGGAGACCGGTCAGGCATACAGCAGGATGGACGGCCACACACAGGCCCCAGCTGCCCCAGCAGGCAGGTGCTGAGACAGGTGGGCGCAGCGGCTAGCTCGGGGCTCCGCAGGGCGACCCGTCCACGCCGGCGTTCAGTTTGTGCTTACAGAACAGGCTGTAGAGCACCCGCAGCGTGCTCTTGGCGTCCTTGTTCACGATATCTGCGGGCCAGAGGCGGCGGGTCAGGCCTAGGGGTGGGGAGGGCCAGCCATCCTGGTTTGCCTGGACCCAGGGAGCTTCCAGGGAGGTGGGGCCACAGTGGGCAAACAGGGAGAATCCTGTAGGCCTGGGCTGAGGTCACACCATGCCCGAGTGCCTCCTCCCTCCTCCTGGCCTGGCCTCTCCTGCACCCCTCTTATGATCCCCCAACACGGAAACCCCTCGGGACTGCCGCTCTGCACAGCCCGTCCCCAGGGATCTCAGTCCCCTTCCCTCCACAGACGCCTCCACTGGCCGCGGTGCCCCTCCTGGGGTACCTGGCAAGCCCTCACTATCCCTGCCAAGCAGGAGAGCTCTGCGCACAGTGGCCCGCCCTCCACACCCAGCATCCCGCCTGCGGCTCTCACACAGGCTGGCCACGTGGGAACAGAGCCAGCACAGTGGCCTGGCCACACTCACCCTCAGGGCTGACAGGGTAGCTAAGCAGGCCTTCATCCTTCAGCAGCTCCAGGGCCAGGGTGACATTGTGCAACTGTGACAAGGACAAGAAGGCCCGTCAGATGTCAGCAAAGTGAAGTGACCTCAACCCAGCCTGAGCCCCATGTGCCAGGCCCGCGTTGTCATCCCGATGTCTGTCCATTTCCGCCCAACTCCTGCCCGCAGTTGGAATCCCCAAACCCCCAACAGCCCAACGGGGACTCACGCCCTCACACAAGGGGTCCACGTGCCTGCTCAGCCACACACAGCCCTGTTTCTAGCAGCGCCACCCACCAGGTGCACATGGTGTCAAGGAGGCCTCCTCCAGTCACTGAGGAAGGCACCTGGCTGGGACCAGGGCAGCCAATGGCAAGAGGTGAGTCCTGGCAGGGCAGGGTTTACATGAACCCTCAGAGACAGCAAAGCAGAGCCGGAGACCGAGGCCAGAGTGGCCACGGGGCTTGTCCAAGAGCATCTGACAGAAAGTGCTAGAACCAGGCCTGTCTCATGCAGAGAGGGATGGAGACGGAAGAAGCCACCTGCCCAGGGGCTGAGTCTCGGAGACAGCTACAGAGCCCGGGCGTGGCCTGAGCCCTGACCCCGCCACTGCCTGGGTGCTCACTCGGCCAGGGCGCCCTCGCTCCCTGTGAAGTGGGCCCACTGTGGTGCTCCCACCTTGCTCTGGGTGCTCCGTCAGCCCCCAGCTGGGGCCCGCCCTCCCTTTCCATTCTGGGCTCTCCCTTGGCTCAGAAACAGCTGAAGCAGACCCTGCCTCTCCCTGGGGCAGCGGCCAGCGTGCTCGACAGAGAGGGTGTGGGCGAAGCAGGACAAGCCCCGGAGCCGCGGCAGGGCCTCAGACAAGTCCTTCCCGCTGTGGCCTCAGCAGCCCATGGGTCACTGTGGGGTCCCCACTGGCCCTCCCCACCAGGCAGCCGGCATGCAGCAGGGGTCCCAGTCCCACTCTGCGCTCCGCCACGGTTCCCATGGCAACCCAGTCAGGGCCAAGCCAGACTCTGACCAGTGGGCCACTTCCTGGGGGGTCCGGGCAGGAACAGCCTGGAGATCCGGGTTGGCAGCTTGGTACCGCAGTACCCACGCCCTCAACTCCAGCATGAGGGGGCTTCAAAAAGTGTGTGGAAACATGAAATTAAAGCACGGGTTTATTTTGGTGCAAGCCATTCTGACATCCGGGCAGTGTTCTCATATTATGCGTTTCCCACGAACGTTCTGAAGACCCCACAGGTGACCTCCGGCAGTCGTGCGTCCTGGCTGGGCCTCGATTGCTTCACCTGTACAGTGGGGCCCTGCCAGCCTGCCTCTCCAAGGTGGCCACGTGACCAAACGCGAGGTGGTGCAGCTGCAGCACGGCAGCAGCCAGGCGCTGTGCACAGAGAGCCGGGTCCCACAGGCCTACTGGTTCGATGCCCAGCCCTGCTGGCTTAAAAACCATGCCAAGCATGTGTGTGTGTGTCCCAGATGCTCATGGGATAGGGAAAGGGAGGAGAAGGGCTGTGGGCAGCCACACCCAGTGGGGAGCGCCTTCTCCCTCTTTTCCTGTCTGGCGGTGGGTTGAAAAGACAAGGGAAGAAGCAGCCAAGGCCGAGACGTGGAAGGGAGCGTGGCCCGAGTGGCTCGCCCCGGCAGGCTGGCTCCCGCGGGGGCAGCCATCACGTGCTGCTCCCGGAAGGCGGGCACGCCTCTGGGATGTCCAGACCAGTGGAAGGAGATCTTGGAGTGAGCAGACCAGCACCCAGCCGCCCCTTCTGTCGCTCTGTCCCAACTCTGCCCCGGACTGGGATCCCCGGACGTGAGGGCGGGGATGGTGTCTGCTGTCCTCGTGGTCGGCCGTGGCGCAGAGAGCAAATGCTAGGAGAGTGGGACGCGAGACCCGCCCACCTGTGCTCGGTCACGAGTCCTTTCATGTACTCAACGAGCCAGCCTCAACCAAAGCGGGGCCCAGGGCAGAGAGGGACCCTCTACCGCGAGGAGTCTTCACAAAGCTTGTGTGTGGATTTCAGTATTTTTGCACCAAAACAAACTTGTGTGCTAATTCCACTTCTCCACAAATGCCTCGAAGTCCCTCGTACGTGCAGGCCACGCAGCAGGGGCTTCCCGCCCTGGGGCGTCTGTGTCGCACAAACTGCTGGCGGTGACACTAGGGGTGCCCAAGCTTGCCACTGGTGGTCACCTCTTCCTCGCCATGTTCAATCTGAACTGAAGACGGTCCCTGGAAGGGCTCCAGCCTCTCGCCCCACTACCCAGAGCACCATTTTTCCTCTGCACAGGCTCGAGAAGATGAAGGGAACACCGTCTTGCTCTAGAGAACGGAGGAGGCTACGACCCAGGAGGCTGCACCCAAACCCTCCCGGGGAAGAGAACTGAGCTGTGGGAGGAGGTCAGAGCTTCCCGGCTCGCTGGTCTGATTTCTGCAGAGCCAATGGTCACCGCTGTCCCTCCGTCCCCAGCTTCTATCCCCATAACCAGCGACACACTTACATAAACAGCGAGGGCAACGGAGTCTGGAAATGAGAAGCCCTCTGCCTAGAGGCTACCCTGGCCAGAGGACAATGCCACAGGACTGCGCCGATGTCCCACCTTTTGGAGGGGCTGTCAGTCCCACCCTCTTCAGTGCCCTTCCAGCAGTTCCGTTAAACGTTCCTGCAGTTGTGACAGTTCGGCCACAGGGTCTGAGCTGAAACACCCCGCAGCCCCGGCTGCTTGCAGCAGAGCAGAGGGGAGGTTCAGAGGGGGCAGGAGCCCAGGGAGGGACCTGGCCTGCAATGGGCCCCAGGTGGGCCAAGAAGTCTGACCCAGCCCCACAGCGCAGGCCCCTCCCACCCCAGGGTGCACTGGGCTTGTGAAAGGAGGCGGAAACAATTTCCTTCCCCACAAACGGCCCCAAAGGCTGGCCTGGGCGCAGGCACCGGCCCTGCCTCTGCCAGGGAGAGAGACGTCTCTGCCCTGGGCCACAGGGACTCTGTGTAGACAGAGATAAGCCGTCCGCCCAGGGTCGACCCAGGCCACCAGCCGACCATACTCCAGCACTCCTTGGCATGGGTCTGAAGCTGCCCCCTGGACGGCTGATGCTTATAGACTCCATGGCTGGTGGGCACAGGGAGAGTCGGGGACCGAGACCACAAGTCCCCAGAGCTTCCTTCTCCACGGTTCTCTGAACTCTTGTGGCCTGTGGCCTGTGTACCTGCGGGGTGGGCTGAGCTAGGGATCAGCCCAGAGCCAGAGGTGGAGGCAGGGAGCTGGCGTGGAGAGCCCAGGCCTCTGCCTGGCAGGGAACACTCATTCCCACACCAGATGACGGTAAGACACTGCTCCCCGTGGCCTCAGTGTCCTCATTTGGAAAGCGGTGAGAATGCCCACACCTGACCGGACAGGTCCGACATGCAGGAAGAGCATCCCAGGAGGGGAACAGCCTGTGTGGCGGCCCAGAGGTGGGGCAGTGCAAGGAGCCCAGGGCCTAGGCAGGTGCAGGGAGGCCTAAGAGCAGAGGCCGACGCCAGCCGGGGAGGCGCAATCAGACCTGCGTTTCTGGAGCTCACCTGGCGCTCCCAGCTCTCCTCTAACCTCCCTCGGCCTGGTCATTCTCTCCACTCTCCCCGGGTCAGCCTATAGCCCTGCCTGTCGGGACCGGTGTAGCCATCTCCCAGCCAGCCTCCAGGGTCCACAGGAACTCTTGCCTCCTACCCGGCATACCCCACAAGCCCATGCCCGGCCCGCTCAGCCCCTGCAGTCAGAGTGGACACCACCCTGAGACACCCCTTTTCCTCTCTGCCTTCGCTAACACCGTTCTCTCCTCTTGGGATGCTATTCTTCATTAACTCCCAACTTTCCATGACATCGTGGACACAATGCCTTTCTGCCTCCCTGAGATTAGGCTAACCACTCTTCTCTCAGGCCCCGCTGACCCACGCACCACGAACCAACGCATGTCACTGTGGCTCAGAAGCCAGGCAGTGCTGGGAGCACAGGGCGGGGAGTGGGCAGTCCTGGAGCAGGGCTGCAGGGTCTGTCTCCATGTCCCACAGCACACGGCCTACACCACACAGCCTTGAGGTGAGGGGCTGGGCGTGGGGACGGGCTGGGTGGGCAGAAGGACAAACAGAAGGTGGATGGACAGGCAGGCGGATGGATAGCCGGATGAATGAATGAATGGACAGGCCGATGGGTGAGTGGGTTGATGGATGGACAGGTGGGTGGCTGGGTGGGTGAAGAGATGGTGGGGGGTGGAATGGCGGCGGGTAGATGAGTAAAATCAAGGGTGGGTGGCTGGATGGTGAGTGGAGAAATAGTGGGGGTGGGGGAACGGGCGAGAGGGTGAGTCATGGATGACGATGGATAAATGGGTGGACGGACAGAGGGATCAGTGAACAGATGAGTGGATAGACCGGGTGAGTGGATGGACTGGGCAGGTAGATGGACAGGCAGGAAGATGGACAGATGGGAAGACTTCCCTCCAGCCTTCACTTCACCTGGAGGTGAGTAGACAGAGACTGGTCATGCCAATTCCACAGGTCCGTCTGCCCGGAAGTAGACCCTCAGGGAAAACCTTTGGAAAACTTACCATTTCTGCAGGCGAGCTGGGAGTAAGATGGAATTCCTTTAAGTGCAGGAAGAAGCCTTCCAGTTGTCCAATGAGCAAGAGTAAGATGACTCCATCGGCAAACTACAATGGAGGGAATAGAGACTCGAGTGGAGGAGAAACTGGAGGCCTCGCTCTGCCTCTACAGGCTGTGTGGCCTAGGACGGGGCACGACCTCTCTGAGCCTCGGGCGTCCTTTTACAAATGGTGACAGCATTCTCAACGTCAGGGTCGTTGTAAACAGCGCTTACAGGCTTCCTGGTACAGAGCAGATGCTCAATAAAAGAGCTATTTCTAAACTTGCTGTGGAATAGCCTCCTCCTTACTTAAACAACGTAACTACTCCATGAACTGCAGCAACAGGAGAGCGAGTGAAGTGTAAAATGATCCCACCAGGACAAAGCAGAGCAGCGCCGGGCTTTTTGCTGGCTGTCACATTAATATCTGTCTGCTCTGTCTGTATTTCGGAGATAAAGCTGTCACCCTGGCCACCAAACATCACATGCTGATAGAATCCTATCGAATCGCTCCCATGATACTGAACGATTGGACGTTGGAGGGGAAACCCCGCACAATGTCCCGAGTGGCATTTCCTCACGTTAAATCTGTTCCGATGTTATTAGTCTGCGACTGAAGTCCCTGCCGCTCCACCCCTGGTAACACAACTGGGACACCAGGGGCTTCACTGTCCCCTTATTCAGTAGCCTCTAAGTAGCACCCCACACGTGCCATCATCCTCCAATGCCATTCTTACCGAGGGAGAGAGCGAGAAGCTGGCCTGTGGCGCCGTCCTGTTTGTATGTAATAGCGCGTGATAAACCACAGGTCAGGCACCTGCTGTGTGCCCGCCGCGTGCAGGTGAAATTCTGCCAAGCTGGTACCCTCATGCCCATTTTACAGGAAGAGAAGCCTGAGGTTCAGAGGAGTCCGATAACTCACCCCAGGTCACACAGCTGATGCGGTGGCGGTGGGCTCTCCCCTCAGAGCCCAGGGATTGTAGGTGACAGAAACAGGAGAGACACACGGGCCCACCAGCTTTGGAGTTTTGTATACCTGGTCTCTCTACCTGCCAGGCTGCCACACCGTATCACCACATGCGTCTCATGTAGCTGCTGTGTGAAGCAGTTCTGGCCACAGGTGACTGGGTTCAAATCCCAAGCCCACCACCGAGTCACTGTGTGATCTTGGACAAGTTTGCTGACCTCTCTATGCCTTAGCATCTCATCTGCACAGGGGGTGCCGTGGGTCCCCTCCTCAGGGGATCGGCAAGAGGCTCCAGTGTATTCAGGCATAGAGACGCTTTGCCCAGGGCCTGGCGCAGTGAGGGTCTCAGCTACCAGGCACGGTGCGGACCCTGTCCCGCTCAGTCACTCCACAGTGCTTCTAGAAGACCAGCCACGGTGAGGTCGGCCAGGGCGGGCTAGACCACATGTGACATGGCTCCCCCGTGCAGATGCCCCATGGCCCCCACATCAGCACAGGACCCTGGGGGTCCCTGGTGGCTGATGCTGCCTAACAGCAATCCCCAAGGCTCTGAGAGGTGAAGCCCAGGCCCCACAGTGCACTCCGCCCACGGAACCGTCTCCTCCCGTGCCCAGCGGCCCCTCCCTGCTGGGGCCCGCAGCCCAGTCCCACCTGGGTGTCCAGGCTCTGCACAGACAGGCCCAGGCGCTCCAGCTTCTGGTTGACAAAGTTCACGATGGCCTGCCGGGGGACGAGGACTACATCGGGGGGCTGTGGTTTGCAACTGCCCCCTGGGATCACAGAAAGGCCCCACGTCTCCTCCAACACCCCGCACCCCACACCCCACACCTGCAGATGTGAAGCAAGGAGCCATTTCCTTCCCTGGGCCCCTCGAGACGCAGGCGGGTGGGCGGGAGCCCAGGCTTTGATCCCGTACCTCTTTCACGGCATCCACTTTCTCGGGAGCCAGTTTAAATAATTCATCAAAGACATCCTCTGTGACAAGAACCGATAAACACCTCGTTACCACACTATTATCTCTGTGCCAAACAGAATTTTTTCCACAAAAGTTTCTTAGAAGAACCAGCCCAGAGGGAGCGCAGTTTTATCACATGGCTCTGGAACACAGTGGGCCTGGGTTTGAACCATGATCCGCTGGTCCTGTGCTGGTTGGCCCTGGGGGAGCTGTCGCCCCCTCTGTGCCTTGGTTTCCTCATTCAGAAAACATGGCTGACGATACTTCCTAGGTGGGGCGGTGGCAGCAATCAGACCTAACAGCAGAGACTCAGCTGTCTGGCGTGTGAGTGGGTAGGCAGCGGGCTTGGAACATAGTAGCCCTTTCTGCAGCGACATTGCTGTGGTGACTGCTCAGTTGCGGTCCCCTCCTATGGAAGCTGGACCTCCCGGCTCCCTGCTCCACCCCCAGGTCCCCAGGAGGCCCCACAGGAGGCTGACCCGGGCCAGCCCAGGGCTCATCTGGGCCCATCAGACCCCTCTGCAGGAGTCTGGGTTGGAAGAGTGGAGACATGGAGTCCCCTTGGTGGCACAGACCTGGTCTGCTCTGGCCCCTGTGTCCTCTGACCAGGACCCTCAGGCACTGAGCATCAGCCAACCTGACCTCCACAGCTGTGTGACTGAGCAGTCACTTCGCTCTCTGTTCCCATGTCCACGAAGTGGGGAAAGTGGCACCAGACAGCTTCATGCTAGTTAAGATGCCCCTTGAGCCACCAACATGGTGGACATTCCAGTGACCACCACCCCCCCTGGACCTCCTGGCCTGTGGTCAGGGAAACTGTGTCACTGGAGGAGCCAGGAAACGAGGGAAGGTATGTTCTCAGGTAGTGCCCTGCTCTGTGTCCCTGCCTGCACCATGTGACACCCAGCCTCATGACCCACCACCCAAACACTGCTCCCTGGATAGCCCCCCTTGTCCTCTGCTGCCTGTGTCACATGCATACATTAACCTCTGGCCAGCTTTCCCTCACCCTCTATCCTCTTTCCCCCCATTCAGCCCCTCCTAGCACCCCTTGCCCACACAGTTGTGTATCTTACATAGGGATCATGCAGAGAGGAAAACTAGTGCTAGGATGGGTGGGTGAGTGGATGAATGGATGGATGGATGGATTAATAGACAGGTGGATGGAAGGAAGGATGGGTGAATAGGTGTGTGAGTGGATGGATAGATAGGTGGATGGATGGAAGAAAGTGTGGGTGGATGAATGGATAGATGGATGTGTGTGAGGATGGGTAGATTATAGGTGGTGAGTACATGGATGGATGGATGTATAGGGGGGTGAGTGCATGGATGGATGGATGTATAGGTGGTGAGTGCATGGATGGATGGATGTATAGGGGGTGAGTGCGTGGATGGATGGATGTATAGGGGGTGAGTGCATGGATGGATGGATGGATAGGGGGTGAGTGCGTGGATGGATGGATGTATAGGGGGTGAGTGCATGGATGGATGGATGTATAGGGGGTGAGTGCATGGATGGATGGATGTATAGGGGGTGAGTGCATGGATGGATGGATGTATAGGGGGTGAGTGCATGGATGGATGGATGTATAGGGGGTGAGTGCGTGGATGGATGGATGTATAGGGGGTGAGTGCATGGATGGATGGATGTATAGGGGGTGAGTGCGTGGATGGATGGATGTATAGGGGGTGAGTGCATGGATGGATGGATGTATAGGGGGTGAGTGCGTGGATGGATGGATGTATAGGGGGTGAGTGCATGGATGGATGGATGTATAGGGGGTGAGTGCGTGGATGGATGGATGTATAGGGGGTGAGTGCATGGATGGATGGATGTATAGGGGGTGAGTGCGTGGGATGGGTGGATGGATGGATGGATAGGTGGTGAGTGCATGGATGGATGGATGGATAGGTGGATGGATGGATGGATGGATAGGTGGGTGAGTGCATGGATGGATGGATGTATAGGTGGGTGAGTGCATGGATGGATGGATAGGTGGTGAGTGCATGGATGGATGGATGGATAGGTGGGTGAGTGCATGGATGGATGGATGGTTGGATAGATGGATGAATGAATGGATGGATGGATAAGTAGGTGAGTGAATGGATGGATAGATGGCTATCTAGATAGATGGATAGGTGAGTAAGTGGATGGATGGATGGATGGATGGATGGGTGGATGGATGGATGGATGGATAGGTGGGTGAGTGCATGGATGGATGGATAGCTGGCTGTCTGGATAGATGGATAGGTGAGTGAGTGGATGGATGGATAGGTAGGTGAGTAGATGAATGGGTGGATGGGTGGATGGACAGGTGAGGGGTGGGTAGATGAACTGGTGGGTGAATGAGTGATTGGATGGCTGAACAGAGAGGGATGGATGAATAATCAGCTGGAAAGACCAACTAACCAAGAATGGATGAATGCGGAACCAGCAGTTAGCATAATGGCTATGTCACTGGATTCATATGTAGTCAACCACGGTTCGAGTCCCGGACCCAGTAGCTTAAACTCACGCTGGGTGCGTATGTGTGCGTGCCCAAGATCCCAAGAGGAGAATGAAGAAGTGTGGCCATCCCCTCTGAGGGATGATTTCTCACTTTCTGTCTCTCTGTCTCTCTCTGTCTCTCTGGCAAGCGCACGTGCCCTATAACAAAAAATATATATATATATGAATGGATGAATGAAAGAAGTAACCCTGGATCAATCAACTGATTGGTAGCAGCTGTCTCCAAAGCAACAGCCACACCGTTGAACACTCACCACTGAGCCCTGGCCACATGCTAAACACTCTCACTAACATCTCCTTTACCAGGCACTGCCAGGCTAAGAGGTGAGGCCATTACTGATCCCATTTTGCAGATGAGGAAACTGAGGCTAAGACGCTTGTTCGAGGTCACGGGGCTAATGAGTGAGAGCACTGAGGTTGGGCCCAGGTCGTCAGGCTCCCGGCTCACACACTTCGCAGACCCACCCTCACCGCCTTTGAGGTCTGAGCCTCTCTTCCTATAGGAAAACGGTCACGAGAGGCAACAGCAGCCACGTGGACAGACAGGCAGACAGGAGGAGGGACACATGGTGAGAATAAGGCTTGAGACACAAACAGCAGGCACGGGGCACTGAGAAGGGACACCAGCACGTGGCCCTTCGTCATTGCACCAGCTTCGACACCTCACACAGAGGCATCTGGAACAGAAAGGTACTCACTCGAAGGTCGGTCCTTGTCTGTGCTAAAGGGGGATCACAGGGAAGGAAAAGCAAACAAACGGTGCTCCTTAAACCCAGCTTCCAGGGCTGAGAGGAAGCCCTCCCTGCCCAGCCCAAGCCCAGGGCCCGGCCTGCCTGCTTAGTCCAGCCCGCCTGCTCAGCCTGCCCCGGCCCTACAGCCCTGCCTGGCCCAGGCCCGGTACCCAGCCTGCCTGCTTAGTCCAGCCTGCCTGCTCAGCCCACCCAGCCCCTGCCTGGCCCAGGCCCCGGGTCCAGTCTGCCCACTGGGCCTGCCCAACCCCCAGGCCCACCCCTGGCCCACCTGCCCTCAGTGATCTGCTCCACCGACTTCTCTGACTTCAGGCCACTCTTGGTGCTCTGGGAAAGAAAAGGGAGGAACCATGTGCTCCCAGAAACCTGAGGCTCACGGCTGCTGAGATGGTCTGCAGTCCAAAGCGGCCCGAGGGACCCCGCATGCTGGCCTCCTACTGAGGTGTCCCCACTCCTCCTGAGGTGTCCCCACAGTCTCAGGACAGGGGTGGGGGCAGCATGGGTGAGCATGATGGGAGTGAATGAGTGCCAAGGAGGGAATGAATAAAGTCGCCCTGACGCACAAGAGAAGTTGTGACAAGGTCACGAACACTCGGTAGAGTTTCGGTTGACAGCTTTGACAGAAGGAGAGAGGATTTGACTGGACCGGCTGGACCTGGCTTAGCTGTTGGGAGGTCAAAGGTCAGCCCCCAGGTGTGAAGCCCTGCCCACCAGGGACGAGGCTGGGAGAGGCAACACAGGCAGAGGCAGGCGGGACCCTATTTGCGTGGGTGAGCCGCTGTACACGGAATGTGGACATAGAGGGCACACCCACAGGCGGAGAAGCCAAGGCTCCCTGAGAGAGCAGGAGGGGCCTCACAGAGCCACACCGGGGAAGCCGGGCCCTAGGGCTGAGTGGATGTGACGTGAGCCAGCTGCGCCTGTCGGTGTGATGCAGGCCACCATCAACCAGGCTCAGCCTCTGCCCAGTCAGGTGCCATCTGCTGAGCCCAGTGGGACTGGCCGGCCCCAGACCTCCCCATGCCCCCCAGGTCCTTGACGGCCCCCAGGTCTTAGCACCTCCACCCACAGCTCCAGCTCAGCACCCCTGCTGTCTTGGCAGGATATGGAGTTCCTCAGAGTTCCCTGAAGTGCACCTGGCTCAGGCCCGCCCCGGGCAGGCCCCCCAGGCAGGACGTGGCGACGTGGACCCAAGACACCCAGTGCACACATGCGAACCCCTCGGGCAGGCCCGGTAGCTACCTCAATGGTGATGACCTCCACCTGGACGCTGGGTGGGAGCTGCAGGCTGGGCTGGAAGCGTGTGGCCAGGGCCACAAGGAGGTGCAAGGTGGCCAGCAGGTCCTTGTTGAAGATGGCTGGGAGGGCAGGGGAGCACGGTCAGGGCTGCCACACCTGCCAGGGAGGCCGCCTCCTCAGAGAGCCCTCCGCAGGCCAGGGGCCTGAGCCCAGCCTCCTGGAGGGCAGACCTGAGGTACGCACTCAGGACCTGAGACCCATCATACTGTCCCAGTCACCCCACTTCGGTGCCCGTGTCCGAGTACGCCTATGAGTCAGGCTGAGACAGACGGCCTCCGCCGCGTTGTGTACGGTTGGAGACCACTGGGTGCCCAGGGTGGGGCCGAGCAACTCCCGCCGTGGGGCTAACTTCTTAGGTCAGGGCCGGCATCGTGAACCGCCGCGGTCACCACGTGTGAGACGGTGCAGTGCTAAGGCCCGTCACAGGGGCAGGGGTCTCACAGCGCGGAGCCACACGGGAGGTCCCGGAGGTCTCCCTGTACACACCAGTGCACGCATGCCGCGATTCGACCGAGGGAGGCTGGCGGTGGATGGCGGGTGGAGACCCTCTCTCCCTCTCTCGGGCCTCTCTCTCTGTTTTTCTCATGGAAGAAATAAGTAAGCTGAAAACATGCAGTGGCAACGCAGGGACATGACACACAGCAAAAAGCGGCTTTGAACACTGACGTCGTCACTGCCAGCCGCGGGGGAGCTACTTCCCTCCTCGCAGCCTCAGTTTTCTCATCTGGAACATGGGAAGATACAGAGTCAAATGGAAACGAATCTGCACCCAGGCCAGCTTCCCATTAGGGAGCCGGGGTCCCACATGGCCAACCATGGTTCCAATCCTGGTCCTGGGGATTTGAAAAACATGCCAGGCATGTGTGCATGGGTGCCCCATATCACAACGGGACAGAGAAATGGAGGAGAGGGGATTGTGGCGTGACCACAACCTATGGGGGGGGGGTCTTTCTCCCCTTCTCTGTCTCTATCTCTGCCTCTCTCTCTCTCTGTTGAGCACACGAACTCTCTAGCAATTAAAAAATAATGATAATAACAAAATAAGAAGTGTAACCCCAACAGCAATGGGTGGGAATCTGGGAGCCTCTGCATGCTCACTTCCCAAGCAGGCACAGCAGACATGATTGAGCCCGTTACTGAGACAGGCCTCTTTGTCCCCAGCTGGTGAGGCTGACAGCACGCTGTAGGGCACAGCAGCATGGCCAGGACTGTGCCCTCAAGGCGTGCCCTTTCACGCAGCGCCCCCGGGCTATGAGAGCACACTGGGCCAGCTCCGAGGAGCATTGCCTAAGAGAAACCAGATCCCACGTGGTGACCATGGTTCAAATCCCCAACCCAGTCAGCCTGAAACGCACCAGGCATGCGCACCAGGGACAGGCAGCGTGGCAGACCTGTGGAGGATGCCCATCCCCGTCTCCCTCGCTCGCTCACGTGCATGTGCAGAATGCTCTACGACAAATTTAAAATAAATAAATAGAAAGGTTCTCTGAGGAGCATGATATTTTAAAAAGCACGTTGAGCTTTGCTCCCCACTAGATGCGGGCGCAGTGCCTCCCTGGCCGCGAGGCTCCTGCCTCCTTCCCAGCCCAGGCTGCCCTGCCTCGTGCCTGGAGAGTGCAGAGCGTGGCCCTCTCAGGTGGGACCCCTGACAGCCCGGGCCGGCCCCGCCTCCCGGGCCCCAGCTGAGCTCACGCACTGTCCACACTCCACTTGGCCTGCGTCTCTTCCACCTGCAGGCTCCGGTTCGCGGCCTCCAGGACCACGGCGAGCTTGCGCCGCTGGCTTGCCGCAGTCAGCGCGATCTCCTCCACTTCCAGCTTGAGCGCCGCCAGCTTCTCTGAGGGCAGAAAGGGTGGTGGGCACCGCGCAGGGAGACCTGGTGCACAGGGCCCTGCAGGACGTGAGCCCCAGCACTGAGAGCCTGCCTGGGCACAGTGGCATCCAGCTCCCTGGGCCCACATAGAAAGCAGGACGGCAGGACGGTGGGCCACACGAGCTGTGTGCCATGGCGGCCACGGCCCTCCAAGCTGCCCGCCCGGACCTGTCCCACCTGGACGTTCTGCCCCTGGAGCAGGGCCCACCTCACTCCCAGGGGCAGCATGGCCATGCGGTTGAGCCCACACTCCTGGGCTCAGGGCCTGACTCCCAGCTTTCTCAACTGCGAGAGCTGGGACGAGGGCCGAGGTCTCATGTGGCCTCAGCTCACTGAGCTATAGAAGTGGCCAGTATGGTGGTTGTGGGCGTTAACCGCACCTGCAACCGGGCACGACCTTGGCTTATGGGATTGCTCAGCCGACCTTCCAGGGAGAGTCAGGTCCCAGGCCCATGCTCACTCCCCAGGACCACAGAGGAACAGGGTGACTGTGGCTTTGTGAAGGCTTGCCGGGGGCCAGGAGGTGGCTGAGATTGTAAACCCCCTTTCAAAGCACACCGGGCTTCCTGGACTGTGGCAGGAGTGGGGGTGCCGGGCGGGAGTACAACCCTGCTCCGGGGTGGCTCGCCCCCCAGGACAGCTCACTCCCCAGGACTGCCTCTCTTCTCTGGGACAGCCTGAGCAGGCTGGGGCGGGGTCTGGCCCCTTGGCTATCTCCCAGCACCCGGAGGAGCAGGCTCTGTCGGCGCTCAAGGACATGTGGTTGGCAGCAAGGGCACCGAGCCAGGCATGAGGGCCCAGTGGAGCTGCAGCTCTGCCCTTGCCCAGGGGTGCGGCACCTGCCCTGCCCAGGCCAATTTAGAGACAGGAAGACAGGGTCCCTAACCAGTCCAGTGTGGGGACCGAGGGAGGATGGACCAGACCAGGGTGGGGAGGAGATGCCAGAGCAGCGGCTTATGGAGGAGGTGGTACAACAAGGAGACGGGGTCCCCTAAGCCAGGCCGGCGTGGGCACCGAGGGAGGACGAGCCGGGTTGGGAAGGGGGCCCCGAGCAGTGACTTACGGAACAGATGGTGGAGGATGAGCCCGTCGAACATGTCCTCCTCCAGGCTGCGCACCACGATGTGCTCAGGAAGGAGCATGCCGTTGATCCACTCCATCAGCACCTGCAGGCCCAGGGCACCGCTAGAGGGCCACATCGCCTCGGCCTGGAGAGCCCTCCTCCCACCTGCCAACCCCTACCCATCCTTCAAGGTCCGGCTAACATTGCCTCCTCTGGGAAGCCCTCCCTGATCTCCCAGGCTGAGTTAGAAGCCGACCTTGGGTGGAGAGGGCCCCTGCTTCTGCCTTCCATGAACTTGGGCACTCCGGGTCTGACACTGTCATGTGTGAGGTTTGGGGCCCAGGAGGTGGGCGTGTAAGATGGGGAAACGATGCCTAGCTGGGCAAGGGGAAGGCCGGGTAATGGGGCCCGATGGGAAAAGCCCAGGGCCAGACGGCGTATGCTATGACACCGCGCTCCGGCCACAGTGCTGGGCCCACAGGGAAGGGCCCGGGTGTGCATCCCTGCCCACATCAGCCACATACATGCACGCCTGGGATCCAGGCTGGGAAGGCCAGAAATATGACTGAAGTGGGAGTCAGCAGAGGCGTGGAGGGTAAGGCGCCGGGTCCCACATGGACGACTGCGGTTCCAGGCCTGGACCTGGTGGCTTGAGAATCATGCCGGCTGCATGTGCGTGTGTGCCCAAAAGCTCAAGAGGAGAATAGAGAAGGGATTATGGTATGGCCGTCCCCCCGGGGTGCTGTCCCCCTTTCCCTCTCTGTTTCTCTCTGGTGAATGCGCTGTATGGCAAAAACGTAAAAGAAACGTAGAGAGAGAAAAAGATGGCTGAAGTGACAGCGAGGGCCCAGGAGGGAGGGGCGCGCCGCCATGGGAACTGGGAATGGGGACCGCGATGGAGGTGGAGGTTGGAATGTCACGGCTGCGTTCAGGGGCCCTGGCCCAGCTCCCTCCCTGCCTCTGCACTCCACGGGGGAGCAGCCCTGAGCTAAACCCCACCCCGCTGCTGGCAGGAGCCCAGGGCTGCACCAGCCCCATCGCTCATGCCATGTCAGCCCCTCCCCACTCTCGTCTCAGCTCAACTGCTTGCACCCAGATCCTTGTCGCAGGGTCACCTCCTGGAAGAAGGTGACCCTCATCCACACTAAGAGGATGAGGACACCCAGCCAGGTTTCGGGGGGGTGGGGGGTGGGCACAAATGTCTCTCTTCCATGTGACTGGAGCCAGGTGGGGAAGGTGGCTGGATAAGTGGGAAGGACAGAAAATGGCCCACAGTCTCTTGGTGTAAGGAGGCCTTCCTGGAAGAGGCACCAGAAGGCCACAGAGTCTGGAGAAGCAGGGCAGAGGGAAACAGTCCCCACACCTACTTGGGCCCAGGTGGCATGACGGCCACAGACGCAGACTCACGGCCGACGAGAGGACCAGGAGCGAGGTGCGGCCTTGGGCAGCTGAGCAGAGCAGGGTGTGGGCTGTGGGCCCGACGGCCTGGCTAGCCCCAGCTCTCCCACTAGGCAGGGCACCTCTCTGAGCCTCATGTCCCTCCCAAGACAGAGGCCCTGAAGTGGCATGGGGCACTGAGGGTGCACAGCGGGCACTCCGTAAATAAACGTCTACCCACGCGCCCATCCCAAGGCCTGCTGGGGCCTGGCACCACTGCCAGCCCGAGCTCAAGGAATGGAGGGGGCAACCCACTGTCCCCACCCTGGGGAGGCGGTACCAGGCCTCTGAGAGACTTGGAAAAGAGAGACCGACCACAGAGACTCCGGTTTGCTGGAGGCTTCCGTACCTTCTGCAGTTCTTCAAACTTGGGGTCCTTCCGGGACGTGGGGGACAGGTATTTCTTCTTCTCTCCTGAAAGCAGAGACGAGCATGACATATGTGGGACCTCGAGGGGGCAGCTGGCGGCTCTGTCCCTGCAGGTCACACGCAGAGCCTGGCCCCTGGGTCTCACCACATGACCCCAAATGCCTGTACCCCATTTCCATTGTGAATACCAGCTTGTCGCAGGCCCCGCAGCATCTGTGTTTGGGGGACACACTTACCTCCTACTCAACTGAAATCCAGACCTCACCAGGCATGCTGGGTTGTCTGGCATCCATGCCCACTCACGGTACAGAGGCCACAGCTCAGAGGGCGAGCACTGCTCACAGGCCGCGCTGGCGCTGGCTGAGGGGGGACGGAGCCCGTCTGCCCGGCTCCCTGGCTGGATGGTGAGCCTTGCCTCCTAGGCCCATCCTAAAGGCCCTGGGCATCAGCTTCCCCAGTTTCATACTCACAGCTCCCTCCAAATGCCAGGGCCTCACGGGACTCCTGGGTCGGCTCGTCCCCTGAACGGGAGAAACTGTCCAAGCTCCCAAAGCACACGTGACCTCTCATCAGACCCAGCCGGAGACTCCGAGGCGTCCTGGAGGCCTCTGGGGTTCTAACAGCCCTGGGCCTCTGACAAGGGCCAGCAGCAGAAGCACATGCCACAGCCCCTGGGTACACTGGGACTCTCCACGGTCCCTTGGCGCGTGAGCCAGGAGGGACAGAGAGCTACCAGGGAAGGGACTGGCTATGGCACCGACCCGCCTGGAGCGACCTCCCCCCACTCTGCACCACCTGCTCTGCTCGCCAGAGCCTTCCGTGTTTAAAGTAACGGTAAATGTGTGTCCAACAACTGAGTCCCGTCCGGCTCCCAGCAAATTCCCTCACGAGCTTCCCAGCCTGCTTTATAAACAGCAAGCGCCCCGGGCAGGACCTGAGGCCTGTGACTCTGGAAAAGCCACCCTCTGTGCCCTCCCCCACGGGCCTGCTTCCCCCTGAAGCTCTTCCGGTTTCCCTTCGCTGGCACAGTTACGTTTTGTTGTCGGTGACATAAAAGCCAGTGACCCGGAGAGCCCCCCCTCACTGGGACTTCGCAGCTGCTTCCTGGCATGTTGCTTCTTCCGCTAGAGAGCGCCGTGGTGACACCAGTGCCAGATGCCCGCCTGGCTCCATTTGAACCATCTCCCAGGAGGGAGAGTCCAGGGGCAGTGGTTGCAGACGCCCACCGTGCCCCCGGATGGACAGGTGCTGACCGGTGACCTGCCCCACTCGCTCGATCCCACCCCAGCCCTTTCAGAGACCCACGGTGGGAGGAGCCAGCAGTGCTCAGGCCTGCAGGGCTCTGCCCAGCTCCCCCCCCCCCCAGAGAGCGCGGCGCTCTCTCCTGCTCTGGGGCTCACAGCTCAGTGCTCACTGCGCCTCAGCCTCCTCCACTGCAGAGGGGTGGTGATGGCCCGCCCACAGGGATAACCCAGGTGCTGAGGTAAGAAGTCCTTAGCTCAGGATAGCACGTCCACGCAGACTTCAAAAGTTCATGGAAAGTGAGGGACCAGCAGTTAGTATAATGGCTATGTCGCTGGACTCCCATGTAGTCGACCACAGTTTGAGTCCTGGACCCGGTGGCTTAAACTCACCCAGGTGCGTGTGCGTGCGTGCCCAAGATCCCGAGAGGAGAATGGAGGAGAAGGGATAGCGGCGTGGCCATCCCCTCTGGGAGGTGATTTCTGGCTTTCTGTCTCTCTGTCTCTCTCTGCCTCTCTCTGTCTGGCTGGCAAGTGCACGCACCCGATAGCAAAAACCTCTACAAAAAATAGTTCCTGGAAGGTGGATTACAGTACAGATTTACTCTGGTGATAAAATTTTGAAAGTCAGGCCATTTTTTCCCTTCAGTTTCCAATTCCATGCACTCTCTGAAGACCCCTGTCATCACTGTGTCCCAGTTCCCCCCAGCAGCCAGTCTCGTCATTGCCTGTCACCGTCCTGGGATAAGAGGTTGGAGGGGTACCCAGGCCAACTCTAAGGAAGGTTCCGGAGCAGGAGCCAGGCCGAGCGTCATGGGAGGGGTAGGCGGGGGGAGCAGGATGGGTGCACGCTCCCATGATGCACAGCCTTGCCCCCGCCACAGCCCACCCACCCCAAAGCGCGGCACCTTGAGGGGGCGCCTCCTCCGCCGGCAGGTCCACCTGCTTCGGGAGCTGCAGCAGGTTGTAGAGCGACTCCGTCTCCATCTTCTCTGGCTGCCCTGGAGGTGCAGGGGACGGGGCGTCGGCGTCTGAGGTCCTCAAACGCACTGTGTGCTCAAGTTCCTCCAGATCAGAGGGCGGAGAGGCAGGGGCAGGCTCCAGGTGACAAGTCACTGCACCGGCCTGGGCCAGGAGAAGACCCAAGAAGGCGCCGTGACCCAGCCTGCAGGTACTGGTGCTGCAGCCCGACCTGAGCAAAGCTGGCCAGGGGTGGAGGGTCTCTCCTCGGCTGGCACTAAGTGCCCCCCATAGCTGGGGTGCAGACCCCCCTCCCCGTGCCTGGGCAGTCAGGACAGAAGGGCACAGCCCAGAGTAGCCCTGGGAGAACCCTGCTGGGCCTGTGGGGGCGCCTCTAGCTGGGGCCTGCCAACTCTCTGGGCCCTGAGCCCAAAACAGACCACCCTGGAGTGGGTGCTGCCGGCCTCTGAGGGAGCGCAGAGGCCACGCGCCCATGCCGCCCGGGCTCGCCCCACTCCGTAGGCATGGCCCTCAGAGGAAGGCTGCCCACTTGGCCCCCAATTCTGAAGGGGATTCGGCAATGGCAGCTGGGGCTCCCAGCCTCCGGGGTGGCTCAGGGGTCTCCCCACGCCAGGCACATGCTCTGCAGGGAGGGGCCTGAGAGCATCCCCTCCGCCCCTCACGGCCCCACCCAGGCCCCCTTCCTCTCCGGGGGGCCTTGCTCGCCGTCCCTCTCTCCCTCTCCTCAGCCCCTGGGCCGCCCCAGTGCTTTCTACTTCACCCAGACATTTGGGGTGGGGAGAAGTCCGTGCTTAAAGCAGGGAGCCCCAGTGCTGTGGGAGATGGAGGCCTTGCAAGGCCTGAGCCACCCCCGTCAGACCAGCAGACAGCCTGGGGGGCCCAGCGCTCTGCTCTGCCCTGAAGCGCAGAATTGGGGACCCACCAGGACAGGCTCCTTCCCTCGCCTTCGGCTCCCATGAGTCCTACCAGGCACCAGGGTTCCAACTCGAGGGGCACGGCCAGGGGAAGAGCCCAGGCCCACAGGGTAGGAGGCCCAGGGTCCTCCTAATTCCGGCTGTGTGACATGGGGCAAACGCCCTCCGTCTCTGGTCCCAATGCACCCTTCCAAGGACCCTCCATGACAGCCCAGGGGACGCAGACCTGGGGCTGCCTCTGGCAGTCTCCAGCCTGGGCACATCCCGTCTGTCCCCTGAGGCCTCAGTTCCTTCACCTTTCTCCTCCACATGTTGGATGAAGCTCAGAGCGGTGACAGGCTGGGGGGACTGCCCACCCGGCTATGGCCCCCTGGCTATGGGGAGGAAGGGCAGGACCTCTCCCCTTTTCTCCTGTCGGCTCAGCTCCTTGCCACGGGCAGGGAGGAAGGAGCAGCCTCTGAGCAGACAGGGGCTGCCCAGGTTCCCCTTTCACCGCCTGACTCTCTCGTGGCCTCAGCTCAGCGTGTGCTCGCCAGCTCCTTCCACTGCCACCCAGCCCTTCCTCCTGGACCGTTGTACCTGAGCAGCCGACGGAGAAGGCCGGCAGCCAGGGCACCGGGCCGAGAAGCCAGGAGGACTCACCAGGCCGCTTTCTCAGGCAGGAGTGCGGACGGTGGACCCCAGGTCAGAACGCAAGCAGGTTCCGGGTTCCCCGGGTCCGGGGCCACGGGGCCCAGCCACCCACTTCCTCTGAGGCCTTGCAGCAGCCTGTGTGCAGCTTCCTCCTGTCTGTGCAGCCAGCCTGGGTCGGGGTGCGGGGATGCCTCCTAAGCAGGGCTGCCACCAGCCCGGAAGCCTTGGCCCGGGCCGATGCCCCCGCCAGCCCCCTGCCCCTCGGAGGTCTCACAGGCAACTCGGACTGCACACGTCTCCTCTCCGCCCCTGTCTTCCCAGCTCCAGAACAGCAGTGACTCGGGCCAGAGACCCGGCATCAGCCCCACCCCGAACCCGGCCGTCAGCCCCCGTCAGCTACGCCACCTGGTCCTCCCCTCCACTCCTCCACCCAGGCCCCTCCTCTCACCTGGACCGTGCGGGGAGCTCCTAGCCAGACTCCCCACCACTCCCTGCTGCCCATGGCACTCACACCCCACCTCCGACCCCACCTCCCACCCCGAGCAGCCCTCCACCAGCAGCCAGAGGACTCACTCCGGTCCCAGCTCACTCACCAGCCACG